TTGTTTATATCTTTACTGTAAATAAATTATATTAAAATATAAATTGTGCGCTTGAAAAGCGGCACGTACAGTACGAAAATTGTAATTTGCACTCTGTATATTTGTTTATTGGTTTGAAAATGGCTTTTTAACTCAATTATTATTAACAAACCTTTCAGAAAAATAAGTCCTTGTAAATTATTTCATACAAATCGTGTTATTTTGATTATAATCGTTTCATAACAAATGTCTGAAAACGGTTTTATAACCTACTTTTATCGATTGTTATTTTTAATCTAATCTAATCTCCGAGGTGTATAATTTTATCATGGAAATACATAAATGATCGGGTTTTATATAAAATATTTGATTTTTCTAGAAAACTTTGCTTTTGTAAGTTAACTTTTATAATAAGTAGCAGAAAATTGTTGATGAATTTCCAACGACATTATGCTGCCATTGATATTTGTCAAAACTTCAATGTGTTTATTGATTGCTCTGGGTCATCGCCTGTTTACAGATATTTTATGATTTAAGGCATAAAAGCTAAAACGATTCATAAATCGATTATAAAAATATACAATTTTTCAGTTGAATTACTAAAATATTCAAATGCTTTCTAGCAACGCGCCTATCATTTATGACAAACGAATTGCGATTTACGTCATTCTAATTTTACTATGATGTATACTTTTGATAATAAAATAATTATGAGCTATTAATAGCTATTAATATAATAATTGTTTAAGTGTTACGAATATAATAATTTTAGTCTTCCATTAGAACACTTTGTAGATTATAGGCCTAACGCTGATATTCCGTATGAAGAAACGTCTCCTAAGCTAAAATTTTTGCTCGAAACAAAAATAAAAAGCAAAAGTTAGTGAAGTAAAATTCATACTTAATCTAGTTTTATCTCTATTGTGAATTTTAAAGAGTGAAATTTACAAATTAGACTTAAACTCTTTTGAAATTCTATAGCACTGTATTTATTATCAAATATTTTCAATATTTATATATCATGTCCACAGAAAATTAATTGCAGATAAGTAACTTAACAACCACCTACAATTACCAATAAAGCCTATAAGTATAATTTGATAATAGAACGTATGCAATTTCATAACGAATAGGTCTACAGAAACGTTCTCAAAAGGTCTCTCCACCATTTGAAAAACTTCAAATGTTTTATCTAAATGGATACATAAATGTACTCTTACATCAGTTAGAATATTAGGTAGCCCCATAAACTAGTGAATAGCGAATAGATTCATTTTTCTGATTTACTTACTTAGCGATCTCAGAAGCTAAATATGTTGAAGCGTTCCGCATACTGTTTACAATGACCAAAAACAGAACGAAATACAACTTATCTTAACAGTTTGCTCCCTTGCCTGTTTTGAAGTGTAAGATACGACATATTAGGCTTAAGAACCGACAGAAAGCCAACACGCCATAAAACGGCAATAAAATGTCACAACGGATGTATGTACCCCGCGTCTTGGGACGATCCACTGCCAGCCAAGCACCCAGCTAAACAAACCGCAGACGTCTTTGTAGACAGTGAGTAAATTCACACTCAAACACTTCATGACTGCAAAGACTATCGGACTCCCCCGTTTTATGATCAGCTATGTTGTTTTGGCCTATATATCTTCAGACACACTTTTGATGATTGTATGAAGAAGAATATAGGCTACTCGTCTCTATCTCTCTTTGGAACAATGAATAAGTTAGATACGTAAATCTCCCTTAAGTAACCGCCTGTTTCTTTTTTCCCATGTATGGGCTGTTATGCTATAAAGAATTTATGCTATAGCACAGTTTACTTATCTGCATCAAATTTATATAGACTTCTATTGCATCGAGAATGCTATATTTACTAGGAGTTTCTCGGAAAAATTCGAATCTGCAAAAATTTTCAGTAGTCTTATATTCTTGTGTCTGCTTTAGTTAATTTAAGAAATGTCATTTTAAAAATAATACATTTAAAAATAATTACTTCGTTTGAATAAAGAGGAAATTCGCTCGATGTTATGAATTGGTTTGTCGGATGGCGATAATAATTCGCATAATTTCTATTATTTATAAAATTATATGAAAAATTATGTTATTCAGAAAGGTGTAAGCAGTTATCGACCATCCGTCTTCACTATCGCTTCATCTGGCAGCGATAACATTAAGGCTCTGCTAACAGAGTTGCCTGGATATCTCAACTCCTATCTGCACGCCAATCAGTCACTTTACCTAGACTGTTTTCGTTTGCACCGTCGATTTTTTTGTAAATAACTCGATTCTTTTTTATTCTGCAACTTTTTGATATAAAAAATTCCCTCCAAAGTATCCTTCTATGTCTGGTTCATTATCAATAATAATAATAAAAAATCTTGCAATATATCACTAATACGAAATTTATTTTCAAGTACAATGATTTGATTAGGATCGTTATAAATATTTAAAGGATTTGATAGAGTTATATAACAATTTTGGTTAAAATAGAAGCGATTGAGCTGCCACTTTCATGACATCAAACATTCTAACGTGGAGAATAGTATCCAGCCACTCCAGAACAAGTGGCCGGTTTATGGTCGTTTTATGGCATGTTACGGAAGTGTTTATGGAACTGTAACGACTTTTTGAAACGTCACGTGTGCACAAGACTATCTTCACCCTTTTCTAGCCTCTTGTCTTTAAAAGATAGTCAATTTTGAATCTGTTACGCTGCCAGATCTATTCGGAGCACTGTAAAATGTATTGGTTTAATTCTCTCTACAGATTTTTATCTTACTTCCTTTACATAACGGAACTGATTGTTTGTAGCGTAAACTCAATTCTCCAACGATCAGATACAAAAATTTAATAAAAACGACATATCACAGGTCTCGTAAGTGTTTATTTTTATCGGTTTTATCTTTCCCAAAAAGTCCAAAAAAGTATTTTATAGTTAAAACAATAGCAAAACCATTTTATCAACTCATGGAAAGTTGAGTAAAATATTATAACATAACTGTTTCCTAAATAAGGTTAATACTGATTTTTATACAATAATACATAATTAAGAAATTATTTCACGAACAGAAGCATCATTCAAGGTGACTTACCACCATTGTTTAAAGGTGCCTACGGCTATTGTGATCGTCAAGATAAACCGAAAAAGGCAACAATCGACTCAGAGTAATATTATATATAGACCTATATTCATTTTAATGTAACTATGTAAAGTTTTTTTTATTGAACAAATAAGAATGTATTGGCTTCATGTTAAAAAATGAATTTTCGTAAATAAACAAAAAACAAAAGTTTAAGAAAGTTAAATCATGTGTTCGTGAAATCACAGCTGACAGTACAGACATCATTGGAGACAGAGTGCCGGCTGTCGCATAGCAATGAATTATACGACAGACAGTCCGAAAGAAACGCCCCTCTAAAATCATTGGTGGAATACTCAACCTTTCAAATATAGTCTAGGCCCTATATGTGACATGAAGAGTAAAAAGAAACATTGAAAGCTAAAGTCAAATTAGGACTTGCGATTTTTCCAATACTTCTTGAAAATGATGTAAATTACCAACTAGAAAACGATCTAGAATAAATCTTAAAATTTTAAACAATTTCCTTTAAAATTCTTATATCTTGTCGAAATGTATATATAATTCCTACTCATACAACTATGACACCTATAACGTTCTCTTATCAACAGTATCCCGATAAGAAGAAATAAGGGTATTTAAAATCTTGAAAAAAAAATTTTTTTATAATAATTTACATGATTGAAATTTCTTCTTTAGAAGACCAAGATATACTTTAAACATTAATTTACATAAATTTACACTTAATAATTATAATTTAATATATTAATTTTAATACTAAATAAATTTAGAATATTTAAAAAGCTTAATAAACTTTTAATGGTCGTGTTTTAAAACCCGTGAGACTATTGAAATTTGAATTACGAAGAGCAAATTTAATTCGCAAATGTATGCGTTTTTAATTTGACTGCCAAAATTAATTAAAGATTCTTGGTTAGTAAGGTTAAATTTAAGGTCACGTGAAATAGAAAACTGCTGGTGAAAGGATGAAACTATCGCATTTCAAGAATAATTCTGCTGCATAAGGTTAAGCGAACAAGGTTTATTGTTCTCTTAACCATTTTATTTAATTAATACTTAACTAATTACGCTAGCTTTAATTAAAATAATGTACAAAATATTATCGGATTGATCTGTAATTTATCTCGATGCTAGAATTTTTCCTCTTTTAATATTAGGCATAATATTCGATTGAAGATTAGGGTGACAGTTATGAACCGAGACGAAGTTTGATGCGAACTCTTTCACATAAATAACACGAATCATTCAATATTTTTCCAGGCGTTAAACCGTAAGTTGTAAAGTACTCATTAACCTGATCAAACTTGTTATATGAGCAATTAAATTCGAGTAAAAAAAAAAAAATACAATAAATTAATTACTTACTTACTACAAAGAAATATAATCTATTCCCAAAGCAATAAGTTATATCAGCTGCCATAAAATTATTAATTCGAATTAATGTATAATAAATAAATAGGAACCTATTTAAATAATAACTTCTTATTACAGAAGGAGTGAAAATAATTTCTTGAGCGTTTCCAGTTCTAGTTGATGTTTATGTGTGTGGAAGATGGATCTTGACCCACAAGGGGCAAAGAATCGTGAATCAGTATTCTCCGCACCCATAAACTCACTGCGACTTTACAAAATAGCACTGCCAGCAATATCTCACTTATGGGGTCGAGAAACGCAGCAATTCGTTGCGAAGAGGCGGGATATAACTAAATCTGAATTTGTCCCTAGAGTTATCAATTGTTCTGTACTTTTATTCACGATTATCTTTAAAAAAACGTAAACGAGCCGATGTGTTTTAATTAAAATTTTCTCGTTGGCGTATTTAAATTTATATTTTTCGTATCGAGAACATAGAAAACTTTGTTCAGAATAGTAATAATTCATAAAATGAAAATAACTAGAAATATTACCCACCCTGGAAACGATGCAGAAGTAGTTTCTTCTTGGAGAGCTTCTCTGTCGATGTGTGAAGAGGAGTCTGCCAATCTGAACTTGGCTTCGGATGTTGGGAAGGCGTTGCCTCTTCAGTTTGGGGCGGGATTTCCAATGTTAGACAAGATGGGACTAGGTGTTGGTCCCTGTGTCTAAAGTTTTTTTGCTCTGTTTGTCACTGTGTATCTATGGGATTGTATAGAGGGGAGGGTAGAGACTCGTTTACTCTCGGCTTTATCAGGTCGTATGTCTATACACTGGTGTGTCGTGCACGTATTTGTAGTTCTCTGGCAACCATGTTGGTAGAACTGGTGCGTGGTGGAGTGATGTGGAAGGTGCGCGTGCTTGTCTCTTCACACACACACACACACGCACACACACACACACAGACTTGCGGCTACATAACGTGTCACCCCCAGTATACTCCCCTTCTCTACCTCCTTTCTGAGTGGCTCGTGTCTGGTTGTCCCCCAATGCATCACGTGGTGTGACTTCGAGATCTGTAGGAGGGGAACAGAAGTGAGACTGAAAGCTTCTTTACACGTTCAGACGATGGGTAAGGGTTCGGCTATGTCAATGTTGGCTCGATAGTATTAAGAAACATGAGTTATAAAGTAAGCAAAAAATGTTAATTGGTAGATAACGATAGTGAAGGAAACTTTTCGATCGCGAAACGCTTAAAAACGAGTTTGTATTATCTTAATTATAAGATGCATACTGTTGATAAAAGAACTTTAGTTAAACTAAAGAAAATTATCGATAACACTAAAATCTAAACAAGATAGTGGATAAGAATTAATATAATATGTCATAAAATATGATATTTAAACAAACATGGATGTATATATTTCTTAAATCTATTATTTATTAAACTATCTATATGTAAATTTTCTGAATTTACAGGAAAATACAGAATTGAATAAAATTAAAATTTTGATCAGGATAGTACACAGCTTATAAATTCTAAGCAGATTTCTGAGTCATGTCGAGGTCTATTGTATATTTACTTTTATTTAAATAAAGTTAAAAAAATTATGTCAAGTACATTTTGTTCTCATTTTAAATAATAAAAATCAAATAAGATAAATACATTCTGTATGAATTTTATAAATTATAAGGTTTAAAGTATATCCAAATTATTAAACTATTTAAGTAATTAGGCTAATTTTACCCTATAATTTTAATGATAAATTTTATAATTTTAAATTTAGTTTCAGCATGATAACCCAATACTTACATTTTTCTACATTATTATTTTTGTTAAATTTTTACAAATAATAGAAAAAATAAATGCCTGTATTTGTCTGTTGTATGGACTTTTATATTATTAATTATTTACTAAGTATAAAAGAATCCTTGTAAATGTTAAAAACAATAATTTGTAAAGTATCCATTGTGTAACCAAACGATAAACATCTCTGTAACTAGGCCTAGTTGTTGCCTTTTGTTTTTCAGTGTTTGTGTTATATTCATGTGAAAGTAATTAAAGTGATTAACTACCGAAATACATGTCTATTTATATGTATAATTAGCATATGCAATCCAAATATAAAGAAATTTGATAACTCACCTAGTGCAGTGAGTAGGCCAAAAATTCGCATAACTTTGTAGTAAGCCATATTGTAGTCTATTAGATAAACACATTCCTAAATGTCTTGAGCATGCGCACACACTAGATGACGTCAAGAATTGTAAAGTTATATTTGATATCATCAAAGTCAAGTCACATTTCCATACATCTTCAAGTATAATCCTGTTAATAATAAAAATATTTTGAGTATTATAACAATATACAAAGCATTAGTATACTATTTATAATTGTGATTATTATTTATAGAATTGTACTAATCTATAGTTATAATAAGATAAATCTTTTATTTATTTTTTTTTAATGATTTACCTTTATTGCAGTCTTTCATTATTCAAGCTATGCTGTTGGATATCCTTTACCCAAACAAGTCTTTAACCCATTCTCTGACTTCTTCCACGAATAAGCCTATAAACAAATCCAAAATTATACTGCTCAAACAAAATTCTCAGTCGTTTAAAGATGTAACCGGGTGACTTGAAGTTGTCCTTGAAGGTTAGTAATTTCATAGTATTTATAGTATATTTAAATTAATGTACATAATGGCCAGTGCTTCCATAATACAAAGTATATTATTTACGTTGTAAAGTAGAGTTCATCATGCAAAGTACGGCATTTAAATTACGCTAAATTAGACAATACAAATTGAGGATAACCGAATAAGTTTATTTTATAAATTAGGCCAGTTTTAATGATAATTTTTATACTTTCATATACGAGATAATTTATGTTATTGTTATATGAATGATGTATATTTTCTTAATTTTTGAATTTTATAGATTTTATCGATTGACACGTATGACCTAAAATATATTTTTAGAGATAATTTGTTGAGAGTAAGAGCATTAAAAAATATTAATAAATTGAAAAGTATTGCATTTTTTAGTTAAAAGTTTTGTATTTTTCATGGAATTTATTTGACTTGCATCTTCTGGCCAATTATAAATAATTACAAATCTGGAAAATTTATTTAAATGATATATTTTTGTTTTATGTTTTTTATTGAATTTTGTAAAAATATTAATGTATTTTTTTAAATAAGTAATTTTATTTATAAATGTGATATCATTCATATCTTCGATTAAATTTTTTATTTTCGTTACAGAGTATATAATTACGAAGAAAATAATATAGAAAAGTTATAGTATGATTCTTTATTAATCCAGGTAAGATTGTAAATTATCAAATATATTATCAGGTAATTTAGATTATATAAGTTATATAAATTGCTTAAAAATCTATAAAATAAAAAGAATTTTAATAATTTCCTTGTGTGTTTGTGTTATAATTTGTACCAGCGAACAGATTCTATTATATGGCGCCTGTATACTAAGTTTACTCAACACGGAGCTTATGGTAGGCTACTATAGATAAATTGTTTAATTGTAAAGTTTGAAGTTAAGATGTAAGATATGGTATGATAATCGTGTCAGAAGTCGCTAATCCTTATATTTCATTTCCATAAAGAACAGAAATTTGATGCGGGTGACCCCGTGTTGCTTGACTATACAATTTTCATCCAGAATGTGAGAAATCAGGGAACTTCAAAGGTTGACTTTCAGTCAAGGCAATTGAACCATGATCGGATTACCGTTTTGTAAAAGGAGGGATTTATGGTAATGTCAAAAACAAGCGGGAGTTTTGTCCTTGTTTAAGCTCTCCATTATCTTCTTTATGATTAAATTTATTTCCTCCTATACATTTGTTATATGTTAACTGAATAAGTTGTAAACTGATTTATGATTTTAATATATTGTCAGATTGAATAATCATATTAATAGTGTTGAAAAAAAAGAAATAAATTACAGTATGGATATGTTAAAACGAATAAGAGCGCGTAAATTGTTAACATCTTTAAATACGTGGCTTTAACTGTTGTGGTTTTTTTTGGTTGGAGCATACTTTAATTAAAATTAGACATATCATTAATGTCATTATAAACCAATGAGTAAATATTGGTTAAATGTTCATAATAAATTCAAATAGATCCTAATTAAACAACTTGTTAACGCTAAAAACAAACAATTGGCAATTAAATTTTTTCGTTTTTTGATAATATAAGAGAAGCACTTGAAAGTGACATTATAATAGAAAAAGACAATTATAAAACATATTTATAATTAAAACAATTCAATGTAAAGTTTCATACTAATTTAATTAATTTTCACGAAACGAATTTGTGAAAACTAATTAAAATAATCTGCAACTTGGCGACAACTAATTATTTTTCTAGAAAGAGAATGTATTACTAATTCCAATTTTAGCCGGCTTTACAACTAAAAAGTTAAAATTTATTAATAAAAATAATTACAATTAATCAGTTATATATAAATCTACACACAACTTTTCAGAAAAAGTATTTATTCTTAGTTGAAAGTTTTTATTTAGAATAAAATATAACTAAATTTTTGCGATTTAATCATCTATAATTTAATAAATTTATAAAGATTTGTTACATATAAATTAAGAACATTAAATGTAACACGCATTCATATATTTTTCATACAATTAAATTCATCTAATGACCCTAACCTCGTTTATTTAATATATAACAATGAAATAATTTCATATCACAAATTCATTATGCTTTATTTAGATCTGTAGTGATTGAATTATTTGAGAAAATTTAGATTTTGAAAAGCATACAACTCGTGACGTAACGTATCACGTGATATACGTCATAAAACGCCGGGAGATCAGCACCAAAATGGTCGTAAATGTCTCGTGGACGATTTACGGGTCAGTTTTACAGGCCCCGGGTCACGTGATATACCCACGTGCGTCTTTTCCAGTTTTGAATGCGTTGAAATGCAATGCAATGGGCTTATAAGTACAATTCGATGCCGCTTTCAATCGTTTTAGATACGTCGTTGAAAGTGCTGATGAGGTGTTTTATTTATTAACGCTCTCACTGCTTAAACTGTTAAATCTTGGAGCGAACACGGAACATTTTTCCCCCCTACTCCATTCAGAATTTTTAAGATAACTACGTATTGTTTATGTAATATAAATTCAATGCTATGTAATTTTAAACGCAATGTAAGCTAGATCTATATGTTTTCTACAGCATGAAATGAATTAATACTGAATTTATTTTTTTGAGAGTTTTAATGTGTAGTTAGACATAACAAACCTGTGAAATTGTTTATTTTTAAACAGCTTTGTTTATTTATTTTTAATTTTCTCTTTCAACAGAATACTTCATTTCGATATTTCTTAATAAATTAAAATTATATCACTACGCTCTTATAATAATAATTTGTTTGACGTATTGTAAATTTTAAAAATCATTTAAAAACACTAAGCGAAGTATTTACAATGTAAATATTTAAAAGCCTAATAATATAATCTACGTTATAAGCTTTTTCATAAAAAAAATCTCCAAAAGTTAAATGTCATTTAAAATATATTTATAATTTAATTTAATTTTTTAAAATCGTATAGTTCCAAAATCCAAGAGCCATAAGGCAATCTATAATATGTAGGCCTTAAATAATTAAAGAAATAAGATTAGTTATAGTCTTTAAAAACTTAAATGTATTTATAAATTTACCTTATCTTATTAGTGAATACTGTATAAGTAATTCAACTAGAAACACAGTTACATCTTTACATAGTAAATTCATACAACAAAATGAACTCTGAATTATAAAGACTATAATATATCCTGTCAAAAATTTATTAAATAGATATTTAGTTGTGTAACAGTATAGATTTATACTTAAAAAATATTACAATCTATGTTACTCTCTAGGTGCATCAAGCTATATTATGCCTATTTTTTATTCTAAGGTAGATACATTATTTATACAAATTAATGATAAACTGCAAAAGGTGATGTAAATATATCTCTTGTTTGTATAAATAATGTTATTAAATATATAAATAGAATATCATACAAAGAAACTGTTTACGATAGTTTGTATATTTTTATATTGTAAGTTAAACTTTGGGCCTTATTCATATAGGCCTAGCGTATATTTAGATACATATAATGTTTAAATCTTTAAATTTTATAAACATAAATTTACAAATATAAAATAGTAAGCTTATTAAATGTAAATGTAAAATAATTTCAGTTTAATTTTTAAAAAAGTATTCAGGGGAAAAAAAGTGAAACATGAAGTGAACGTATTAATACAAATTAAGTGAAAATTGATAGCTTTGTGGAAAATTACACTAAGAAGCTATCAATTTTCATAAAAAGAAGAAATAAACATTTTAATCAGGTTTCAGCAAATAAATATTAGTAGTTTAATCAACTGCTAATAGATTAATAAACCTTAATAAGGATAAAATATGACAGTTTCTTTGGTCATGGGATTTAATTTAATTTAAAAATCTCCATAAAGATACACGAATTGCACTAGGCTTTTCCAAAGAGAAACTTTTCAAACATAATCATATAATTTATCGAATATTAAAAATAATTTTATTTTAATGAATAATTTCTTCCTAATTAGATTATTTTCTTCAATAAGACTTGAAATAACTTACTAAAACGCGGAGACGGAGCCAGATGTAAGTTATGAATAAGAAGATAGAAAAAAATAAGACAGAAACGATGACGACAAGTTTACAGCGTCTCAGAGTAGCTGGAGACGTTTATGGCGGCAGTAGACATACAGTACGTTTGGGGACAAGCGTGAATGAATACATCGAGTGACGGTTAGAAGCAGTAACTGTCTTGTTACAACCGCTATAAAGTGGCTGTTTCTCTCCGACAGTGTGTTCTTTCATTTTTGCCAAAGACACTCACATCGCCGTTATTACAATTAGTTTAAGCTACTATAAACTATTTTTGCCGTGATTTTTATCTGTGTAAAGATTTTTATTGCTAAATTATAGGTTACTGGCCAAAAACGGAAGAAAAAAAACAAGTATTTATTTCTTTTAAAATTCTCTTATAACGGAAATTCGTATATGTTTCCGACATTTATTTATTTTTTTAAAAATATAAATTAGTTTTTAAAATATCAATTTATTTTCTTTATCGTGTTAGAAATTTAAACTATGGCTTAAAGTTAAATTAATGCTTTAGATAAATAAGAAAATTTATTTATCATTTAAAATAGTAAACAATAATAAAAAAAATTACTTGAAACTAATTACTTTTAGTTCAAATCTACATCCAAGTCGAAAGGTTTAGATTAGGAAAAAACTAAATATAAAAGCCGAAACCTAAATAATTTCTATTAAATTTAAGATTAAATTTTAGACTAATAGGCCTATACTTGTATAACTATTTAGTTTAGATAATGCATAAAATATTTTAAATTACGACCAAGTAAAGAATAATTTAACAAGTTTTTGTTTAGCATATTCAAAAATTCAATATATATAATAAATACTCTAACTATGAAAATAATTTGTATAATTTTTTTTAGGTTTCTTCAAGAAACAGAAATAAAGATAAAGCAAAGGATTTTAACATCGTGAAGTACAGTTTCTATAAATCAAGATTATGTATTATAATTTAAATATCATGTTGATATAAATTTATTATGAAATAAGAATAAGAAAATAATTTTAATTCATAAATTATTTCTAATTTCAGATTATGAATTTAACAAGATTCTGCACAGAAAAAAAAGAGAATTTCCATAGATTAACAACGAAACTTTTTCGTAATTTAGAATATTCTTTCGAGGACATTTACTTTCCGTGTTAATTATGAACATCTATATTAAATATGATCTGATTATTTATGTAATAAATTCATTTTTTTAGATTAGAGATGATTATAATGTTTACAAGCCATGGAATAAGTAACAAACTATACATGAAATTTAAGAAAATTTTAGTCTATTGATAGAGCTAGGCCTATACAAACTGCTAATTAAGAAAATACATTAACAGTGTTATCTCTTGGTAAAAGCTTTATTAAAAGCAATAACAGATTGCTATCTCAGAATATTTTTCGTTTCGTTTGAAATCAGAAAAATAATTTAATTAATTGATTTAATAAAATATTAATAAGTCTAATTCTCTTTAATTACATCTAGAAATTTTTCTAATTTAGATTTATTGTTTGCTTTCCCTTAGCATTTTATTATCCAATTATCCCTTACAATAGTGCAATTGCCAAATTTGTTAAAATTCCATAATATATCAAAATTATTCAGGCAAACTGAACTGGTAACTTGTATAATTATTAAGTTTTAGCTTAAGGCTAAAGGTCTACCATTACATTTTCTTCTCAGAATAATTTATAGCCTTATTACCAGATTTATATTAAAAATATTTTTAAGACAACAAAAAATTTTAACATATTTTATCCTCTAAAAATACACCGAAACTGAAGCTCAAAGTTATAAGCGCAATCTTCTTAATACAAGGCCAAAAAGATACTTTTAAGGCTCGAAATAAATAATCTTTTCTAGTGAAAGTGAAAGACTGATTTATTTCATGAAGCAGAATATTTAAGATTTGTAGTTTCCAAACAGATATGAATAACTGGCGTCACTATTGATTTTCGTACGTCTAGAATAGTTTATCCGGAAAGCTTTCATTATTAAATTATGTGAAAATTTAAAGGAATTCCACTAATAATGCTAATTGCAAATTCTGTTCTCAAGCTATTTAAAATGATCGATAATTTAAAAAAAAAACTAAACGTTTTTTTCTTGGCAACAAAACTGTTTAAAAGAGACTAGTGGGAGGAGTTTGACTAAAGGAGATGAAGTTATTGGGGCAATATTAGCTGTAGGAAGGGAAGGACCCTTCACCTGATTGACAAGTACTTTAAGTCGTCACATTTAGTGTTGTTGAAAGCAACGTTGCTGTTCCGTACAAGAAACATTGGCGTAATGACAAGAAGTGTTGGATTCATCATAAATGAAACACGGGCGGGGAGGGATTTTAGAGATAGAGGCAGGAAATGATAGCAAGCACCTAGACTATCAGGTACCGTAACCAATCTCTTTTCGCTTTCTCCTGATGAATAGATGGACGAAGGAACGTCCATCAAAGAGCCCGGCACTCACCGACACCTGTGCCCGGCCTATGAGCGAGACGTTGCCTTCGAAGAGAATCGCTCACATGCTGTCTAATAACGTTGGCGCACCAGAAGGGGATATAAAATCGATCTGTTTCGTCCCACCCTTGTCCGCTAGGACCGTAATCCCCTCGGCTGGAAGGAATGGGGGACGGAAAGTGGATTAGAGTCCAACCCAGCTTCTGCCCCTCCCCATAGAACACGGCCGAGTCCAGTCATCCTAATAAGATTTATGTCTACCGGTGAAATATCGCCACAGTTTTCTCCCGGAGAGTGAAGTATGGCAATGCCCAACTCTCTCTCTCTCTCTCTTTCTCTCCATCTCTCGGCCTCTCAGTCTCTCGTTCACTCTTCTGGAGAACGGAGAATATATTGGACCGAACCCATCTCGCTTGCTGTTTTCTTCTACTCTGTCGCTAGCATTCATTTTGAATAATAAACATTTTGACTTCAGATCAACCATATTTATTCTTCTCCCCAAACTGAATTTTAACTGAAGACTAAATGCGATTTTACCGCTCCACAACATGTAAAACCAAATTAAATACAATTAATAAAGTATTGATCGTTCCATTTATGACACGAGAATTTCTTTTTTTTTTATTCAAGTGTTTAGGTAAAACCCAAAAAAATTTAAAATTTCTTGAATACACCTTCAATGCCGTTTGATAAATCGATATAAATAGTAATAATAAGTCTAATTCTCTTTAATTACATCTAGAAATTTTTCTAATTTAGATTTATTGTTTGCTTTCCCTTAGCATTTTATTATCCAATTATCCCTTACAATAGTGCAATTGCCAAATTTGTTAAAATTCCATAATATATCAAAATTATTCAGGCAAACTGAACTGGTAACTTGTATAATTATTAAGTTTTAGCTTAAGGCTAAAGGTCTACCATTACATTTTCTTCTCAGAATAATTTATAGCCTTATTACCAGATTTATATTAAAAATATTTTTAAGACAACAAAAAATTTTAACATATTTTATCCTCTAAAAATACACCGAAACTGAAGCTCAAAGTTATAAGCGCAATCTTCTTAATACAAGGCCAAAAAGATACTTTTAAGGCTCGAAATAAATAATCTTTTCTAGTGAAAGTGAAAGACTGATTTATTTCATGAAGCAGAATATTTAAGATTTGTAGTTTCCAAACAGATATGAATAACTGGCGTCACTATTGATTTTCGTACGTCTAGAATAGTTTATCCGGAAAGCTTTCATTATTAAATTATGTGAAAATTTAAAGGAATTCCACTAATAATGCTAATTGCAAATTCTGTTCTCAAGCTATTTAAAATGATCGATAATTTAAAAAAAAAACTAAACGTTTTTTTCTTGGCAACAAAACTGTTTAAAAGAGACTAGTGGGAGGAGTTTGACTAAAGGAGATGAAGTTATTGGGGCAATATTAGCTGTAGGAAGGGAAGGACCCTTCACCTGATTGACAAGTACTTTAAGTCGTCACATTTAGTGTTGTTGAAAGCAACGTTGCTGTTCCGTACAAGAAACATTGGCGTAATGACAAGAAGTGTNATAGGCCTAGCGTATATTTAGATACATATAATGTTTAAATCTTTAAATTTTATAAACATAAATTTACAAATATAAAATAGTAAGCTTATTAAATGTAAATGTAAAATAATTTCAGTTTAATTTTTAAAAAAGTATTCAGGGGAAAAAAAGTGAAACATGAAGTGAACGTATTAATACAAATTAAGTGAAAATTGATAGCTTTGTGGAAAATTACACTAAGAAGCTATCAATTTTCATAAAAAGAAGAAATAAACATTTTAATCAGGTTTCAGCAAATAAATATTAGTAGTTTAATCAACTGCTAATAGATTAATAAACCTTAATAAGGATAAAATATGACAGTTTCTTTGGTCATGGGATTTAATTTAATTTAAAAATCTCCATAAAGATACACGAATTGCACTAGGCTTTTCCAAAGAGAAACTTTTCAAACATAATCATATAATTTATCGAATATTAAAAATAATTTTATTTTAATGAATAATTTCTTCCTAATTAGATTATTTTCTTCAATAAGACTTGAAATAACTTACTAAAACGCGGAGACGGAGCCAGATGTAAGTTATGAATAAGAAGATAGAAAAAAATAAGACAGAAACGATGACGACAAGTTTACAGCGTCTCAGAGTAGCTGGAGACGTTTATGGCGGCAGTAGACATACAGTACGTTTGGGGACAAGCGTGAATGAATACATCGAGTGACGGTTAGAAGCAGTAACTGTCTTGTTACAACCGCTATAAAGTGGCTGTTTCTCTCCGACAGTGTGTTCTTTCATTTTTGCCAAAGACACTCACATCGCCGTTATTACAATTAGTTTAAGCTACTATAAACTATTTTTGCCGTGATTTTTATCTGTGTAAAGATTTTTATTGCTAAATTATAGGTTACTGGCCAAAAACGGAAGAAAAAAAACAAGTATTTATTTCTTTTAAAATTCTCTTATAACGGAAATTCGTATATGTTTCCGACATTTATTTATTTTTTTAAAAATATAAATTAGTTTTTAAAATATCAATTTATTTTCTTTATCGTGTTAGAAATTTAAACTATGGCTTAAAGTTAAATTAATGCTTTAGATAAATAAGAAAATTTATTTATCATTTAAAATAGTAAACAATAATAAAAAAAATTACTTGAAACTAATTACTTTTAGTTCAAATCTACATCCAAGTCGAAAGGTTTAGATTAGGAAAAAACTAAATATAAAAGCCGAAACCTAAATAATTTCTATTAAATTTAAGATTAAATTTTAGACTAATAGGCCTATACTTGTATAACTATTTAGTTTAGATAATGCATAAAATATTTTAAATTACGACCAAGTAAAGAATAATTTAACAAGTTTTTGTTTAGCATATTCAAAAATTCAATATATATAATAAATACTCTAACTATGAAAATAATTTGTATAATTTTTTTTAGGTTTCTTCAAGAAACAGAAATAAAGATAAAGCAAAGGATTTTAACATCGTGAAGTACAGTTTCTATAAATCAAGATTATGTATTATAATTTAAATATCATGTTGATATAAATTTATTATGAAATAAGAATAAGAAAATAATTTTAATTCATAAATTATTTCTAATTTCAGATTATGAATTTAACAAGATTCTGCACAGAAAAAAAAGAGAATTTCCATAGATTAACAACGAAACTTTTTCGTAATTTAGAATATTCTTTCGAGGACATTTACTTTCCGTGTTAATTATGAACATCTATATTAAATATGATCTGATTATTTATGTAATAAATTCATTTTTTTAGATTAGAGATGATTATAATGTTTACAAGCCATGGAATAAGTAACAAACTATACATGAAATTTAAGAAAATTTTAGTCTATTGATAGAGCTAGGCCTATACAAACTGCTAATTAAGAAAATACATTAACAGTGTTATCTCTTGGTAAAAGCTTTATTAAAAGCAATAACAGATTGCTATCTCAGAATATTTTTCGTTTCGTTTGAAATCAGAAAAATAATTTAATTAATTGATTTAAGTGATAAAATTCCAATAAAAAGATTTTATCAATTGAATAAAAGTAGTCCAAGTCATGCAACGTATTCTCTCCGCTAGTGGAAGCATAAAGAAGAGATGATGGCTATAAAAATCATGGAAGCTTATTTTATTACAGTTTAATAGGCTCTACAAATTGAATTCATTGTCATTGCTGAAGACAGTAATGACAATGAATATATTCTTACTTTCGAATTTCTTTATTAAACTATATTCTAATATAGTTTTTTATAACCATTTTAAAAATTTTATCTTATCTTTTTTGTAGCCTATAGCTTAAAAAAACCAATATTTGTTGTAAGTTATTTCTTAATCTTTTACTTTTTAGGCCTATATTTTTAGAATACTTGATCATTCAGCTTTACTCTAATGTAACTTATAAGATTCATACTATTCATACCAATCAATCTTGTCATAGAAATTTATAACAATGCTATAATATATAAATATTTGATAAAAATAGAATGCTAACTGATTGAAATTTAAAAGACAAAACCTAAAACTTAGACTATGGAAACAATGTAAATAAATTTTTAACATTCCAAATAATTTTTATTTATTATAGATCAATGTTTCTACGAAGTTAAGTTATTTTTTACATAAATATACAGAAAATAACGAATTAATTTGATGATATGCTTAAAGTAAATTCAAAGAGATAAGATGAAATTGTATAAACATCAGTTGTAATTAAATAAACTAAACATAAATTATAATTAAAATAAAACTGTGTGTTCGTCACTTTAGCACTCGACGAAACCACTAAACAGCGCTGACTTTTAAAACTTGTTTAAGAAGCAACCAATTATGGAAATAGAGGAGCAGGCAATCACAATGGCCTGACCCATTGGGGTCCTGAATACAAAAATGGTGGGCCGGCCATATGTTCACTACTTGACTCAACGTGATTGGTAACTTGCCAACATCAGAAAGAACCCTCAACATCCCCACAGAGAAGACCAATTGGACAACAGACCAAAATGGCGGTGGTAGAAGTACATGATTTGTATGATAGCATTCATCTTGTCCATACCATTAAAGTCTAAGCAGAAAATACGGCGATAAATCGAAAGCTTAGGTACTTTGAAAACTTTGAAAAATAACTCCCGTACAAAACTGTAGATAGGCCCATCACTAGAAGAAAATATATGGGCATGCGCGAATTCTGTGGTTTTGTACACTGTGAGGGGAAGTTGCTTAAGCTTTTACATGCTTTATTGTTAAAATTTAATCATCAGATACAAGTACGATCCGAGGTGGCTAAAAAAAACCTATGATATATTGCAAGCTACACAACAGTTCAATCACACAATGTTAAAATATTAATTCGAAAAAAATAAAGGCTTCCACTAGAAAATGTAATCTTTAATCTGACCTAGAAAAAGTTTTTGCTGACAAATTTACTAAAGAAGCTTAAATGCAGAATTATTTTTACTTCTTGTAATGTTTTGACATAATTTTAATCGTGATTGATTTTTTAATTAAGAAAACTTAAATTAATTCAATCTAATTAAATCTAAAAATAGAATTTTTTTGGATATTACCAGGTTTTAAAAACTGATATATGATAATTGTTGTGTCTAATTTAAATTTGATAAGTGTTTAAATACAATTACTTTTTAATTTATAAAGAAAACTTTAATTAAACACAGAACACAAACAGTTAACTAATTTTATCTGAACTATTTCTATTGATAAGCTTCAAATGAATTTTATGGTTTATAAACTGAATTGCGTTATGTATAAATTTAAATCTCATTTAAAAATAAATTATTATTGAGAATCGATATATAATTATCGATTTAATTCTTTCTCTTTTCTATAGCCAAAGATAAAATTGAATTATTCAATAGAGTATAATCGAATGCTTCAAAGCTAAAATCAATACTTAATTTAGGCTACACTGATTAGTAATGGTAGCTATATAATATTTTAGCGAGATTAGCCTCTAAAATAAAGTTAAATAGTTTTNTAAGTATGATTATATTTACTTTGTCTGTAAATGCATTGCTTGTGCTTAAATCCGTGAGAAGAGAATAAACTGAGAAATATATTAGGCCTTATTCACAATGTAGTAATTATATCTTATAGTGATAGGCCTATTCTGAAACAATTATAATGTTCTATTACAATAAACTATATGGTAAATAGCAAGGAATGAATGATAAAAATACAGTTGGATATCAATTTTTGAAGCATTATCTTTCAAAGTTGTATTTGGTTGCGTTTATTCCGAGTCTAAATATTTTATCACAAGATTTTTCTATTTTACTAATTACTATTAAGGAAATCTATAATTGAGATAAAGTTATTGGGTGTTACAATTGGATATTTTAATAACTAAAATATACTATAATTGGATTTTCTAACACCGTTTAATTCTAGATAATACAACTTAAAAATGTAAATTCTATTTCGAAATAAAACTTTCAGGTCTAAATTTAAAATATATCAAATTAACCAAGCCTACTACAAACTACAATTATAAATATTACAAGAAATTAGGTGAAAGAATATGTTACATTAAGAAAAAATTTGAGATTAGTTCTTAAAATCTTTAAATGGTTACAGTATGCAATTCTGTAGTAAAATAAAGCCATTTTTCTCTCTGTTTTTGCCATTACGTAAGAGAAAACAAAAGAGAATTATAGGGGTGTACCCTCTGGCTATCATTTCCTGTGCGAGGGAGGACAGTAAGTATTAGTACTTGACAATTCAATCCCATTAAGTACAACTCGTCACGTGATGACCCGCAAGAATAAAAGGTCTTTAGAGATGCATCGGGTCAACTTAGATCATACGCGTACTAACTAAATTTAGTGATTCGTGTATAATTTTCTTGTTGCGTCTTTAAGAACATTCTGTCTCCATTTGGACTTTGTATTTTAGACTTTTTAAACATGTTTGGATAAGCGTTTAGTCAGTCAGATCCACAGCTGTTGTCGACGTAGCTTGGGTTCTCTAAAAGTATTCTTTGCTCCTTTCGCCAATAAGAGGACTTCGCCATTGAGAGTGAATTGAAAAGAACTCGCTTGAGGTGGTCAAATAGCAAACCACTTGAATGGACACGTTTGAGCTCACGTTCGACCGTTTTCTCTGTTCACCTCATCTCTTCTTCACTTTCACTTGACTATAGTGTTGCTATGGTGACAGATAGCACGTTCATTCAAGTTGTTGCCTTAGTAACGGATGTGAAGGTTTTTTCTTTTATTTTCTTTCCTCCTTATAAAAGATGAGCGTGTTAGAAAGCAGTTAAAAAAAGAAAACGAGTAGAGAATAGAAGCTTTATTCATTATGACGTATTATTGAAGATAAAATTTATTAAAATTTGAATTTAACAATCACGACAATCAAACGTCTATCTATTGTATACCAACTACCTTTTAGGGATATAATATTCTAAGAAAAAACTATTAAGCTATATCAAGTCAACATCTAAAAATATCAGATTATAAATAAAGACATACAGCAAACGATAAAATCTTATCACGTATAGTATAAACTTACATGCAAATTGTTTGTTTATCTGTAGGAGAGTATGGGTTAAATCGTGCGTATAGACGTGTTTATTTTCTTTTTTATAACAGTATTTAAATTTATGTCATTGCAAAATTCAAATAAATGATTTTAAATATCATTATTAATGAAATTCTTTAATATATTTTTAAAAACGGTAGATTATGTTACAGTATTAGATTCAAAATAATCTATTTTTGCTAAATTTTGACGTCTTTAGATTAAAATATTTTGCAAACATTATTTATATAATATTCACTTGTTATTATAAATATCTAATATTATCAATATTGAATATTTAAATAAATATAAAGTCGGTATAATAAATTAATGCTATTTAAATTGAAGAAATTGTACAAACTTCTTATTAAAAAACAAAATTAAAAATATATACAATAAAGAATTTAAATAAATCTCTTCTTTTATAAATTTTATATAAATAAAGTATTAAATTAAATAAAGTATCAAACTTTAATCCTAGAATAATGATAAAAAATTCAATATTAATATGAAGTGAATTTCTTAGTAAGGAGTAATTAATGACAATAATGAACATAAATTGTCCTTTAAACCTGATTTTGAACGAAATAATTATTTAAATATATTCAAAACATCGATTAAAATTAATAAAGTCAGATTACATTTATAGATTCACATCAGAATTTAATAATTTCAAAATATGAGAGAGTAAATCGATAATATTGTTTGTAGTGGTTTGATCAATACGGAGCTAAGGTTATTTGTAGTCGGAAAATTTTCTTCTTATATATACATTAATGTCTGGAAGTTTTCTAAGGCAAACATCATCATGCACATCCTAACGCCGAATCTCATTCAACAAATGTTACCGAAACTTGCTCTTCAATTTCGTGTTTGCCGAGAGACCTAGAGAGAGCAAAGTAGTGCATAGAAGTGTCTCGACCAGCTTACACGTATCGCGCTAGCGTATTAATTCATGAGGTGGACGGTGTTGGATTCCAGAGGGACCGGCAATTTATCAGGATTCGGACATGTTTGGATGGCAACATGTTACTGGAGGGACGTCAGTTGTGACGGATGGCTGGCTTTGTACGGTCAAATTACCTTCCTCTCTCGCACGCCTTAGCTTGCTTGCAAACGCTATCCTCTCTTGCTACTCTGGAACCTCTACTCTTACTGGTTTACTTTTTTCATCTTGGAGAAGTGCTGTTCAGGAAGATGAGATGAATGCACAAGCCATCAGCAAATGTGGTTTCCTTAATATTATGCATTAGTGTAAAGTTATTGAAGACTTCACTTTCAATTTCATATAGTGTTTCATTCCTAGCTCGACCTTATTTTTATTCACTTTACCCATTTTTACACTATTTATTTTGTTTGTTTCTTTTCAATTTCACATTTTTTAAATTACTAATT